AAAGCGTACGTTGATGCTCGGCTTCTCACCCTCGCCGAGATAGACCTGGGTGTTCATAACGACAATCCGCGCGAGCTGCGTCTTCTCCCAGATCCCGAAAGCAGTCAGGTTGCCGTTAGGGGTGGGGAGTTCGGCGACATAAGAGTTCCCAGACTTCCCGATCGCCTCGTTCACAATAAGGTAGGCGTGGTAGGATGGCAGGATGTGGGGGCGGTCGATATCCAGGCCGTCGTCAGATTGGGATACGGGCTGGACGGCATTATATCGGAAGCCGACACCGTGATGGAAGTGAAGGCGCTCAATTCCGGCTGAGGCGGCGAGGAGCATCCAGTCGACTGTCCAGAGGGCGCTCTCGACGGTGTTGCTGAGGCCGGGGTAGCCGTGGCTGTCACTAGGGATTAGGCTTAACGTTCTTTGGAGGTGGATAATTCAAAACTTACTTAGCATAGGAGTTTAACTCAGCCTGTACGTGGGTTAGAAACTATCGGACGGCTGTGGGTTTAAACAGGTGCTTACCAATTGGTATGTCAAGCCCATGGCCTGGACGGCGTGGCGACCGGTCGTTCTGATAGTGAAATTGGAGCGGACGGTCGCTTTGTCCATCAGCTGTCCAGGCTTGACGGTAACATTGGGGTTGAAAACTCCAGAGTACGCATGCTCGGTGAACTGTGTCGTGATGGCCCTGAGGTCGGGGTCGTCCAGCAGTCCGGCAATCAGCGGGGCTGCCGGTGCCCACTCCGGCGCATTGAACCCCGTAAAAGCCCCGGGAGAAAGAGTGGGCTTGCCCGGGCGACCGTTGCCGAACTCAATCTCCTCAGCAACGGCCTTCGCAAACTCTACCCACGTGGCCGTATAGTTGGCGACATTCCACTCCGGGCCGTATATGCTCGGCCTCCCACGTCGCCCCGGGCCGTAAAAGTCTGGCTCGTTCCCGATCTCGACATTAACCAGCTCTACATTCTTAGTGAGGTGAGCTCGCTCGCCCTGGAATGTCTCCGCTAGCAAACGGGCCTGCGCCACGGTCTCCTCCTTGTCAAGGGCCTTTAGGTTGATGCCCCACATGAACTTCGTGCCGGCGGGCAGGTTACCCGAAAGGGCATAGAAGTCACGTCCGATGAAGATGTGGTCGGCCTCGGGGTTCGGGACTTGCGCGCTGGGCTTAGGGAAGGTGGCGTTCATGACGGCGACACTGAGGTCGACAGTCCCGCGGTCCTCAGAGTTGGCGCCCACACGGAGGAAGGGCATGTGGCCCGTCCGCTCACCGAGGTTGGTGAGGACCTGGTTGAAGAACTCGTTTGGCTTTCCGACTTCCTGACCGGCCCAGTCTGGCCAGCGGTCCATCTCCAGGCTGAAGCCAGCGAGGTGAGGAGACAGTTTGGTCGCCCATTCGGGGCGTCGGCTTGGGAGCGGGACTGTCGTGTCCTGGGCGTAAACCCGAGAACAGGCCAAGAAGGCGAGGATGGTCTTGACTGACAAATGCGGCATTCCGTATGTCGATTCCAGGCGTCAGGCTTTAGGGATGATGGATAAGAGCTGTGGGATGCGAGCGGTGCCATGAAAAGGCCGGGGCCATGGGATGAATATATAGTCGCAGAAATAGCAAAGAAGGATGAAATCGTCACACCTCTATTCCCCTGTACATCTTGTCCAAGTGGCCCGCGGAAACGACCGGCCTCCCGTTAGCGCACATTCTACTACAGATTTCGTCAGTGCAAAAGTGGCGTATGTTTAGATATCTCGCGCCATACACTGTATATCTTTTCACTAGCCTCCTACAGGCAAGCTACAATAATCGTGTGGGCAACCTACGTCAGGTCCGCTCAACGGCCAGCACTTGCTCAAGTACGGGCCCAGGAAGCTCCAGCCAAGGTTAGTCTCGGCACTTGGACTACAGTCCCAAAGGACTCATGAGACATGTAAAGCTTCCCAATTCGGCCCCGCAACCCCATCATTTACCCCGCAACTGGCAGCTTAAGCTTCGCGGGGATGAGTGCGGGGACATCAGTCCGTCCCCGCATTCCTTTCTCCGCAGGCAACACAAGCCTAGTCGTGCTAGTCGCCACAGTCAGGTATCCGAAAGACCAGGTTCGGACGACCTTATTTCCGCCGCGCGTCTTGCCAGCGCCGAGATGCCGGCGTCTATAGACCTTTACAAGTGTATAGCCCCGCTCAAGTACTTCTCCGACCTTCTGGATTTGGACTTTTCCCTAACTAGGATGTGTCGTCGGTGAAGCTGTTGTCGCCAGTAGCAACTCTATTGGTCATGATTGACAAATATCTGCTTCCGGTAATTACCGACTAATTTGCCTGGATTTCCGGAGAGGCGGTATTTTGTTGGCAGGTACCGCGGATATGTTCTTGTAGGGACGGACCGCGACGGAGACCGCGACGGAAATAATGCGGATATTTCAGGCGGATTTTCTAGAGGGCAGGACCGGATTTGTGGTGGATGGATGCTCGCCCTACGCCCTTGTATTTAGTGTAGACCGACCGGCAGTTCCATCCGCGATTGTCTGTGCTTTGCGGGGAAGTGTTTTGTTCCCTCTCTCGAATTAGACCTTCGCCCGTTATGCGCGCCGCAGCACCTTTCCCTCCCTGCACTGAGAGAGGCAGGTAATGCAGTATAGCCACGCCTTGTTTTGTCTATAGCCGGGCCCCGTGATATCAGGACTAAGCGGGTCATGGCACTCCTTTTAACGGACCTAGTGAGGTCGCATGTGCCCCTAATACACACTAGCGCATTCATGAATACCTACAAGTACTCGTATGGAGCTAGTTATGGAATCTTGTCTCTGGGTTGCCGTGGCCCTGCCCCACCTTCATACGCATATAAAAGAAGACCGCTCCTCCATATCACCACCGACATAATGTTGAACCCGTGGATACATGCAGACATCCCTCTCAAGATGATCACCATACCTATTTTCACCAGCCACTGGCAAGGTTTCAGGTGCTTTGCCCCTCTCCACCCAATCTACCAGAATCTCCATCATCTTCATGACCGGCGGCCTCACACCACAGATAACACAGTGGTCAGCACCAGGCAGCAGGAAGAGGCGGTAGTAGTCCTGCGCGTTCGGGTCATGGGTTAATACCCGGTCGTAATACTCGACACTACCGTTCACTGGGATGATCTGGTCTGCCAGACCATGCCAATTGATCATCTTGCCGCCCGCCTTTCGGAGACCCGATAGGTCGGGATCGTAAGTTCCTATGATGGACTCGTACTCACCCACGGAGGAGTGGAAGAGCTCGTCCCACACCTCGTGCGTGATGTTCCTCATGTTGAAGTCTGGATTCTTCTTGAGCCAGTACCTCGCCCACGTGTACGCGAGGTTGAAGGGGAGAGCATCGCAGTTCTCCCCGTCCTCGTCACACACAGTTGCTGCGGCTCCGATCCCCGCCTGCGAGATGTTGGCGTCGTGGGAGAAGCCGTACCACTGGAACTCGCCACTTGAGCTGCGCGGACCATCCCAGGCGGCTTTTGCGATTGTCGCAGCGCCGGAGGTAAAAGTCGAGGTCGTGCCGTTGCAGTCGAACTCGTTCCCGACGACATCGTGCGGGTCGAAGCTGCAGAGGTCGGGTCGTGAAATGATACCGTCTTCAACTCCATCCAGAACATCACAAGTCGAGAGGGCGGCGAGAGTCAAAGCACTAATCTCGCACGGTTGAGGGTAGATGTTCAGCTTGTCCATGAGGAAAGTCGGCCAGATACCAGAAAATAAGAGCCGTGTCCAGCCAATGGCTGGAAAAATTGCGAGCAGTCCATCGAAGTCGTTGGGGTATCTCTGGGCGAGCATGTGGCCCTGACGGCCGCCAGTTGAGCCGCCGTAAAAGTACGAACGTACGGCCGGTACACCGTAGAAGGCGTCGACCACAGCTTTTCCCACGGTAGACAGATCGTGAAGTGCCACGGAGGCGAAGTCTACAAGGAGCGGCCAGTTGACGTTTCCAAGGCTAGATAAGGCCCACGGGGCGTCTCCTGAGGTGTCATCAGCGGGAGGATCGGTATGACCGCCGTTGGTGGTGGTAACAGCGTAACCCTCAACCAAACCCGGCAGCATGGTGAGCTCCATGATGGTGAAGGCGCCGGTGGCCAATCCACCTCCGCCGTGGGCCATGAGACGTCCATTCCAGGCATTCTTCTGGGGAAGAAGAGTCGTGACAATGACGTTATCGCCCCAGCCGGGATGGGTGTATGTGATGGTGATATTACAGAAATCGAGCCCCAACCTGGAGGTCGGGAAATCACCCAAGGCTGGGTCGGGCGTGAAAGTGTAGTTTTCGTATGACGCCGCTTCAACAGAAAGAACTTCCAAGTCCGGAAACTTCGGCAAATGAATCTGACCCGGATTGCACAGGTCGAGTGAGCGGCTAGAAACGCCGGCTACCTGGTTTAGTGACATCGTGATGATTTAGATCGAGGTGCCCAATGGAGTGTTGTGGGGAAAGGAAGGTCTTCGAGCATTCCTCCACCCTCTTATTTATTGCGTTTATCGAGCTTCAAGCTAAGACGCGTGCAAGGAAGGAGTGGGGTAAGTAATATATCAACTTCGGTTCAGTCCGTCCGGCAGTGATCGACAAGTTTACATACTTTACACGGCCAATTGCTTACGGCCGAAGCACTCGGGTTGCCTAAGTCCGGCCAGCGGATCTCTCGGGTGGTCAGCACGAGTTCCGCTGACACTGCAGCTTGCAGGCCAGAGTAGGATATACAAATCACCTTGCATATTGGTCAAATGGTACAGAGTGCTCTATTTTAGTATAGTACACTTGGTCCATACCTGTACTCTCGCCGACAGTGCATAGTAATACTCAAAGAATATTATCCCCAAGACCTCTCTCTTTGGCATGACAGGTAACATTTTCTCTTGCTCCACTATTGAGACGAATCTTACTTGCATGAGAGGAATGTCCGACCACTTCGTAGGTACAGACAACGCTTGCTGCGAGATAAAAAGAAAACCTTCCATATGAAGCCTATAAAGGATGCAAAAAATTGGACACACCAGGAATCGAACCAGGGACCGCCTCTAACTTCATAGGACCCAAAGGGTCTTGAGGTGCTAAAGAGGAATTATACCACTAAACCATGCGCCCGTTTGATGCTAGCTCAGCCTCGCTATTCGAAATGAACTGGCTTTGTGGGAAGATGCTAACACCCATATCTTTTAATCCCTCCCCTGCCAAAGCCTGACACTGTCCACAGCGGTAAACTCTTAGAGCTAGTGGCTCGATTAGCGGATGGAGTAGAAATGATGGCAACTTTTCGATTCTTATTGTAAACTCATTTGGCCCACCTACTCGTCTTATCCTCCTTGTAAACAGTAGTTGAAACACGCCATAGAATATAGGTTCGTAGATTCGTAGATTTGCATTTCACGCTTTCTTGAGGAGAGCTTCTGGAAGTGATGGTCAGAGATATTGAGTAGCCCCCACAACCAGCTGGCGGGTGCTCTCAACTGGTTATTTAGCTCGCAGGTCAACATCGAATACCATCCAAAACAACCATAGTGGGCTAGCCACGGGTCTGACCCTACCCAATAAATTTCTCCCTTGAGGGCCGTCTCTAATTCGAAGGAGCAAAAAGTAAAACATACAACACCAGGGATTCGCTGGTCGTCACCGACCCAACTACTAGTCTAGCGCTTCGTGGTTTATGTATAGGGGAGCGGACGGGACCCTCAGTTTTCCACGAGCTATGGTCGTATGTGCTAATTAAACTTCGATAGCGTGAATATCAAGCCTTGGTGACATCGCTTGATAGATATTTACTCCATACCTGCTGCGGATGCGCCTGGAGGGGGCTTGGCTCATGAGGACGCTAAGCATTTTCCAGTTGAGGGTAACCCGGCCGCTCTAGCGGGTAAGAAATTTGAGGCACGATAAAACCCCAGTGATCAGGGGCCGAAAATATAATAAAATAGAAACGGGGTAGAGACGACTAAGCCGAACGGCCTATACCTCACAACCATCTAGAAGTTGGGCTCGTTTGCCTCAATCAAAATACCGCCTAGCCCGTATCATTTACCTCAAGAGACCGGGGAGATTCTTTGTTTGTTTTCGGCCGTCCTTCTTTCGCCAGCCGTGAGCCTCCGGCTGGTCTTTTGCGTTCTGACACTACCTAGGGGGTGTATTAAGTAGTTGTTCCTTGTGTGACTTCAATAAACCCTAACGTTTTGCCCCTGTTACTAGCTATGTGACTTGTTATCACCAAGACGGCGTAGGCGTTGATTCAACGTCAGTGTTGGGAATATCAAATCTCACGCCGATCGCCATCCATGCCTATATGTTAAATATTTACATGTCTCAATAAACACCCTTGCCAATTGCTACTAGTCAGGTCACTCGTCCAGATTGTTGCTTATTCGTTTGATGTTTGTGGCCAAGCCACGCCCTTATAGCAGCCTCCAGGAGATTCCCGTCCATACAGTCGGCACCACCAGCCATGACGTATATCACAGTGCTACGCCGGCAGTAGCCCTTGTAGCAAGGCTATAAAAGCTTCGCGCCCATATTCAGTGGCAACATCCAAGGGGCTCAAACCCCCTTGATCCTTTGAATCTACCTTCACTCCCCCATGGCTCACAATTGCCTCGCCCACAGCGAGATGGTTGTTCCGACAGCCCACCACAATGGTGTCCTGCCATTTACATCCCTTGGGTCGATATCTGTGATCTTCTTGGATCGCAGAAGCTCCTCGACGATGACCTTGTGACCGCCCATTGTAGCGTGAGTTAAAGGTGGACAGCTGTCGTTATCCGGGGTATTTGGATCGACGTCATCACGGCTGAGGAGCAGGCGAATAATTTCTGTTTGGCCCATATAGGCAGCATGATGTAAGGGTGTCAGCCCATTCCGGTCAGTCCTGGTCGGGTTGACCTTGTTTGTGTCCAAGAGCAACTGAACGCCCGTGCTATTGCCACTTTTAGCAGCACATGCCAACGGTGTCATCCCATCCTCATCCGCGGCATCCGGGTCAACCTCGTCCAAGTCTAAGATTGCCTGAATAACTTTCTCATTGTTGCTGTATGGTAATGGCGCCTCTTGAATAGCGTGAAAAAGGGGTGTTCGACCGCGCCCATCTCGTGAGTCGGGCTTGATTTTACCTGAGTCAAGTAGGAACATGACCATTTCAAACTGGCACCTCTTAGCTGCCCACGAGAATGGAGTCTGCCCTTTGTAATCCCCGGAGTCGGGGTCAACCTTCCCTGAGTCCAATAGCTGCCAAGCAGAAATCACATTTCCCTCTTCTGCAGCCAACGAAAGCGGTGTTCTCCCAAAGGCGTTCCTCCAGTCGGCGTCAACTTTATCCGAGCCCAGTAAAATATCGACCGCGGCGTTATCGTCGACCTCGGCGGCATACGATAGTGGAGTGGATCCGTTCTCGTCCACCTCGTCAGGTCGGATTCCGTCGCAGGTGAGGAGCAGTTCAGTAATACTGTAGTGTGATCTCTTAACAGCCCAGAATAGCGGTGTCCGGCTATATAACCCATGATGGTTAACATCAGTGGTAGGGAGCTCCAGCAGAAGCTTGACCACCTCATCGCAGCCCTCCACGATGGCCTGAAATAGCGGTGTGCACCCCGGTGAGTTCCCGCTTTTGCCGTACCCTTTCCAGGTACAGGATCCTTTCTTGAGTACACGGCATGCCCCGCTGGCACCTCTCTCAATCGCCTTTCTTGCGGTTTCAACCCGGCCATGCTTTGCAGCCCAAGACAAGGCCAAAGATGAAGACTCGTGAGGATTGGACCGGTATAAGTAGGGGTCCACGAGGCTGAAGAGGTGCCGGTTCGTCCGGGCCAAAGCGTTGATATCGCGGTGCGTGAAGAGGCATTTTGCGATGTCTAGGAGCAGCTCGTTCGGTAAAGTATCGAGCATTTTTAGGCTAGGACTTTCGGCCCACCGCGTGAAAGGGTTGGAATGTAGGTTGCGGATATCACCGCTGTCCTTGATCTGGCTGGTAGCGTTTTGAACAGCGCTGCTCGGGGGAGATCGAGATATCGAAATAGGTTGGCACAACGAAATGTGATCTCCTAAGAAATAGCATTATTTTCCCGTTATTATGCCGATGACAGAATACTCATACAAGGACGGAGCAATAGGTAAGCAAAGGGCCTGTTCCCTAGCAATCCTTGCACAGCAAAAAGGGGCTAGCCAACGCTGGGGGGGGGTTGATTGAACAGGCTTCGGGTTACTTAGTTTGAATTATAAAATATTATCTATCCTCTTCTAAAAATGAAACCCGGCCTATTATTAGCAAGTGCCAGGAAGTCTGCCTCCCTCTCTTCTCGTCTGCTCCCCATCTCACATTCTTTTTACAAAGTATCTAGATCTCCAGCGCCATAGAATCCGACCGAGTAGCCGGGCGACGGACAGTGAAGTATGGATCGATAGGCTCGAATCGTAAATCAATCGTTGCAAGGACCCTTCCAAGACGCAGAGGTGAGGTTATTCTCGTCGGGGGTAACCCCAAGTATAGGCGTTCATCATCTATAATTTCAGAGAAGTCAGCGAGAAGTATGTTGAAAAGATAGGGAGGTCCTAAGCCGCACCTTGACTTTCAACGTCTCGAAGAGCACGACTTTGCCGCGACAGCTCCCGAATAGCAAGAATGGCTGAGGGCACTGCGACTAGCAGGGTGGTTATCCCGATGATGGCTTCCGGGCCGAGAGCCATTTGGGGGACTGGCGTGTCGAAGATGAAGCTTAGGCAGAAAATTAGGATGGAGAGGATCCCTGGGTAAAATTTCTCTTGCAGTATTCCTGTTAAGACTGTGTACAGAACAAGAGAATACTTGAGGACCAGAGGTTGCAGGATTATTGAGGCTGTTGCAAAGATCTAGCCCAGCACATCGCGGTTTATATACAGATGGGGGGGCGGGGGCGGAGCTGAGCCAACATGTAATGCAACCAAAATTCGCTGCACCAGACGAGTGCTGGACCGAGTCTCAGAATTGATCTGTAAGGGTAAAAAGAAACCCAGATAATAATGAGAGACCCAGGTCGCTGCCAGTACACAGTCTGCAAGGATATTGAGGAATCATTGTACTGGTACACCTCACATTGATTAGGTTTGTACGTGTAGTACAAGGCTAACCGTTTTCGCACTTCGTACCAGGTACATATGTAACCCAGTGTTCCCTAGCGCGGGACGATGGTACCTAGTACAACTGTCCAAGAATAATTACCCCAGTTTATCTCTTCATCAGAAATACTCAGAGGAGTATTTTGAAGGACCTGAACTGTCTTTTCAGGCAGGAAACCATAGGGTATTAAATGTATTTAGCTCGTATAAATATAGTGAAATTGGGTAAGAAAGGCAGGGCCGACCGGTAATCCAGGCTGATTCCCGCTTCGGACGCTTGTATATTCCCACCCACCTGGCTATGCGCGGTACTTGGTGAGCCTTGTCAAATTGTGGTTCTTTGTATACCGCTAACAAAGCTAATCCCCTCTAAAGGTATATATACATTGTTTCTAGTCCGTTCGTGTTGGAAGGTCATCTCCATGCTACAGTGTCATAACATTTACCCTGATACTCACAATGGCCACCGTGAATAGAGAGGAGAATTAATGGACACAGCGAAGCTTGTCTCTGTCGTTGGTATGTGCTAATAGCCTCCCTTGAGAGCTGAATAGAATCTCGACTAATCAATCGCGATTAACGCGTCCATCCCACGTGTAAGAATACGGGGGAAAGTGGGGCGTGGCTAACACTTCCTGCCTTAAGAGCGATGGTTCATAGGGTTTCTGCGTATGATAACAAAACGTATGGATATGTACCCAGGTACGGATGTCCTTCATAGCGAGCCCCAGGCCATACGACACGGACCGGTCGGCCTCTGGAACCGACACACGGTCTACTATAATATGCTCCAGGGACGACTCTCGTTCCTCGGCACTGAAAAGCCACTGCGCACTACCTGTCGTCAACCCAGAGAAGTCTGGAAGAAAGATAAACGGGAAGGTGGCCGCCAACGCAGTCCCGGTTACGTCAAGTATGAAGAGCCACTGCTACCCATGCAAGTCCCTGGCTTCCGAAAGAGTGGCGAATATTCCTGCAGTAATGAGGCCCGAGATGGCTGTGGCCAGGACTAG